GATCTCAAGATTTCTAGACTGAGAGCCTGGAAAAGAGTGGTCTGATGGGAAAAAAGCAGAATTGAAAAGTTCTTCCAGGTGGAAGGGTTTAGAACATATTGTTTAATGGGAAATTCAAGTGGAAATATTTCATAATTGAGTGTAAAAGCAAAGGTACAGATTATACGTATTCAGGATTAGAATGGAAAAATCACTGAATTTTAAGCAGGCATTGTAAACATACATGGAAAATCTCTCTCTCTCTCTCTCTTTTTTTTTTTTTAAGTTGAGACAAGGTCTCTCTGTCAACCAGGCTGGAGTGCAGTGGCGCAATCACAGCTCACTGTCCTCAGCCTCCAAGGATCAAGCAATCTTCCCACCTCAGCTTCCTGAGCAGCTGGGACCACAAGCATATGCTACCATGCTCAGCTAATTTTTTATTTTTTTTTGTACAGGTCTTGCTATGTTGCCTAGGCTGATACTGAACTTCTGGGCTCAAGCGAACTGCCTGCCCCAGCCTCCCAAAGTGCTAGGATTGTAGGCATGAGCCACTGCACCCAGCCATGAAGCTTTAAACTTAGAGACGTGACAAACTATCAAGTATTTTCTGTATGTGTTTTAAAATCCAAGTAACTTTTAAGACCATGAAATAGCTAACATCATGAAAGTGAGCAGGTTTTTTACACAAGAAGGTTTCCCTTAAGGTATATAGGCAAGGTAGCCTGAGTCTGGTAAGCTGAGGGGACCCTGATCAATATTCAAACATTTAAAAAGTTTACTGTGGGATGTACTGTTCTACTCTTGGGTGAAGTGGTCCTGGAATAGGTGCATGTTTTGGAGAAATCTAGAAATAACTCACACACTCTTCTATTTCTGTGAGGCCTCAACACCCTGGTTGCTCTTTCTTTCACTGAAATGAGGGAGGTATTCTTGCCCCTGAGGGCAGATGTCTCTGTTGGGGAGGAGAGTGTAAACATCATGGATTCAGGTGCCCCAGCCTTTCATCCTTCATGAGATAACCTGGGTAGACTGATCCCTGATTAACTCTTTATGTCTGTGTTTGTTGACTCTGAGCTTGTTTCTTTCTTAAAAGTATATACATTATATTAATTACGTGTGTGGGGTGAAGGTGAGACATGTATATTGCCACTTCAGAAGGGTTTTGTGTTGAAGGGTGGGCAGATGCATGTATTCAGTTTGCCATATTGAACCTAACACGATGACTATCACATCCCCTATGACTTGCACGTATATGCCCAGATGGCCTGAAGTAACTGAAGAAACACAAAAGAAGTGCAAATGCCCTGCCTCCTTAACCAATGACATTCCACCACAAAAGAAGTGAAAATGGCCGGTCCTTGCCTTAGGCAATGATATTATCTTATGAAATTCCTTTTCCAGGCTCATCCTGGCTCAAAAAGCTCCCCCACTGAGCACCTTGTGACCCCCACTCCTGGCCACCAGAGAACAACCCCCCTTTGACTGTAATTTTCCTTTACCTACCCAAATCCTATAAAACAACCCCTCCCTTATCTCCCTTCACTGTCTCTCTTTTCCGACTCAGCCCGCCTGCACCCAGGTGAAATAAACAGCCATGTTGCTCACACAAAGCCTGTTTGGTGGTCTCTTCACACGGACGCGCATGACATAGCCCACATAAGAAATTGTCCTTATGAAAATAAAGGAACTTTATTAACTAAGAATTTACCCTAATCTTTGTCTTCCATAGTTTCTTTTGAGAGTATAAGTTTTGTCACATGTCTGAAATCTTTATATGGAAGCTCTGACTCCTGGCCCTTTGGTTGGAGCCCACTTCTACCTGTGAGCTTTGAGTTTATAACAATGTACCTATAGCTATACAACAGGCAGGAGGAATATTGGATTTCAGGCTTAATGAACAGACTCAGAACTTAAGGTGGACCCAGCATGGAACTGGCACTT